AACTTTCATTTTTTAAATCCAGAATTAAAGTACCCTTGTGCAGGATTAGCTATTTGATAATTTTTAAAACTTTGGTAGTTGTAATGTTGGTGTTCAGTGTGGAAGTTTGTATATGTGTGGTAGTAACGCAGGTAAGAGCCCTAAAGTTTTTGTGTATTAGACCTTCAATTTTTTACCGAGTGAATAACAAGTGCCCTTAAGCGCATACTTTAGCCTGCCAAAGTCTGAAATGTGTTTAATAATGATATAGTGGAACCAATTGTTTAAAATTAAATTTTGCTCCACCATTGGACCCTTATACCTGAGGGGTGAAATTGTACTGGACTCATTTCTTTTCCAAACCCAATTTTTATAGAATCACTTGACAACTGACAGTGGTATTTAATTTTATTATAAATGGATAGATTTGATTGCAGCCATTTCTTTTAGTACTGAAAGTATTGCATATGGAAAAAAAATTTAAGGCAAGCTTCTTTGAAAACTGAATACATTAATAATTTTGTTGATTTAAGTATTCCAGATAATCAACATCAGTTCTCTGTAAGCTATTGCTCAAAGCCTAATTTAACCTGATACCACATTTTTATTGCCTTAGTACAGTAATCTTTAAGATCAGTTTCTTTTTTAGGAATGTTATGTCAGGATCTCTTAATGGGGGGGGGAGATGTGTGAATCCTTGCTTATTACGAGCAATTACCCTTCTTAATTCCTGTGGTTTGTTTCAGTCTTTTAAAAAGGGCCAGGTATATATGTCAGAGTTTTTGGAAATGAAAGCGTTTACACCTTTCTAGTTGTAGAAAGTTACTTTCTAAATTTTACTTATCAGCAGAAAAATACATGAAACATGGTAGTTTGTCATTGGAAAATAATGTGGAGACGGCGTTCACTTGGCTATGTTTATTTTTAGGAGACTATGTTACTGGTATATGCTGCCTGTGAGAATCTTTTCTGTGAACCGAATGACATGGTTTTTTTTTTCAACTCACAAGTCAGGCAATTGTCTAATGCCTTTTGTTGCTTAGTTCTATAATGAATTGACAGCATTGTTGATTATATACCATTTTCTAAAGCATATGCTTGCCTAAGTTCAGCCTTTTATTTTGTTTCATAACAATAAAAAATACTGCCCTGATGGTATAACTGACAGAAATGATTGTACCAGTTGATAAAGTAATAAAAATGTGAAAGGAAGGGAAAATAGGCCTCTTCCCTTGACTTGAGTTTGTTACTTTTTTGAGTGGCGTCTATGTCAACATTACTGTAAATTTTAGATTTGGGGATCCTCGACCATTTTTTGAGGTGAATTAAATAAATAGTAAAAACCTTACGCAGTTTAGAAACTCGATAAATCAAAACATTTTATTTTGGCATTTAGCATTGTGATCTATCTAATAGTCATGTTATGATTGCTGGGCATATATGAAATATTGTGCCATATTTTTAACTTTGGATATAATTTTGAGTTTAAAAAAAAGTATTAAATTTCATCAGCAGCACTTAGTAGTCTATGTGAAAATTTAAGATATTCACAATAAACCTCATAGCTGAAGTACCTAAATTTGCACCATTTATGTGTATGATAAATCACAAAGCTTGTACAATTCTGCCATGAGTATACAACACCTTTAATTTTGAACATGATACTGTATTATTTGCTGTTGTTTCCACTTGATTCTGTAAAATTTGAATTAAAGTAAATGTTTCTGCAGTGTTTCTTGTGTTTAAAAGATTTTTTTTTGAGACAAATATTTTTTTCCCCTTAATGGCTTCCAGAAAATATGTGTAATATTACATTAGCACCAGTTTTTAAAACGGTATAATAAAAATTTTGAGGAAACAAAATTGTCATGGAGCATGGAGGAATATTGAGTTAATATTTCACATAAAAGCTATTCAGACAGTTATTTTTCCATCTTTTGAGTCATTAAAAAGGCATAATGCTTATGCATAAGAGCTACCATGTCTCAGAAATATGATCCATCTAAAATGACATTTTGTGGAAGGGTAGGATTATCCTCTATTATATCCTCTGTCAAAAACTCAAATGTTAGCTCCTTTTGCCACTTGCTACTTCACTCCTTATTTGATTCTGGCTAATAAGACAAAACTTACTGTTATTCCTTATGTGACAATTTTCATTGGTTTTTGAAAAGATAAATCAATGAATCAAAAAGCATTTATTAAGCACTTATTATGTGCAAAGCACTGTGGATACAAATAGAAAAGCAGAGAGTACCTGTTCTCAAGGAGTTTCCACTTTCACAGGAAAGATAACATATATAGGTTTCACCTGCAAGTCAGAAGTAATTGTTTCATGATTCTTAGGGTATGGCAGCAAATTCTTTAGTTTCTGCTGATAAAAACATATCTCTTTCCGATATTCTCTTTGATAGATTCAAGGACTTTGGGGGCAAGAACTTTCTTTTCCGGGTCTTGAGTAGCTGTGACATTGATGAAGATAGTAACAATATTGTCAAGATAAAGCCTAAACTTCAGAAATTAGTTACATCTTTAATATTCTTATTTCCTCTTAGTATGGCTGTGTAGTTTTCCATGAATTCAGTCTTTTTTTATGACTAATAATTTGTTTACCACCTTTTGAGGTAGCAAGTTTTGCAAATTTATTCCCCAAAGAAAAGTAATACAGGTATTTTATGAGTCCCAGAGTTGTTTCATATGAGCTCTTAGATGTAAGCCTAAGTGAGGGAAAGGGAGAGGCTAAAGTAGATCCATGGAAATGATTGAATTCGGATTCTAGGCAATAGAAATGTGGGTATCCTCAGGACTCAACAGGGCATGTGAGTACTGCAGAGGTAGCAAGGGAGGGGCGGTGTGCTATCAAGGGTTCTACCTAGGGAGCATAAACAAGTTATAGGCATATCTGCTCAATGTGGAATTTAGAGTTTTCAAGTAAAGTTGGTGAATAAGTAGTGGAGATCCAAATGGAAAAATTTGGGCTGGAGTATAAGTGGAAGGGAATGGTGCTTGCCAAAAGGAATATATCCGCTTAGCACAGTCAGAGTGCATATTGAGTACCCATCTAAATCTTCTGAAAGAGCCCCAGTGAAACTTGGCTGTTGGAAAAAGAAATTGGACACAAGTGCTGGTCATAGGTTCAACAAATCTATGGATCACCTATCTTGTACAAAGTACTGCCAGATCAGTAGTGGTTCCTGGTCCTGGGTAGTGTTCAATAATGGAAAGCAGAATCAGAACCGAGATCATAAACATTTAAGCTGGAACCTCTTAATTTTACAGATGGGGAAACAGACCCAGGGAAATGAAATAATTTGAACAATGTTACAGAGGTAATAGTGGACACCTGAGTGGAGCAGTGGATAGAGTGCTGAGCCGGGAGTCGGGAAGACTTGTCTTCCTGACTTCAAATTTGGTCTCAGATGCTAGCTGTGTGACCCTGGACAAGTCACTTAAGCCTGTTTGCCTCAGTTTCTTTGTCTGTCAAATGAGTTGGAGAAGGAAATGGCAAACCACTCCAGTATCTTTGCCAAGAAAACCCCAAATGGGATAACAAAGAGTTGGACACAGCTGAAATGACTGAACAACAGAAGTCCTGAGTAGCAGAATCCAGCACTAAAATCCAGGTCATCTGATTTCCAAAGCCCCTGCCTTTCTCTATAAAACAGGAAAAGAAGACCACCATGTCAATTGTAAAAAACTGATGAAGGTCCTACTGAACAGATAATGAAACATGTCTTGCTTCATGGTAAGGAGGCAGAGGACTATTAGAATGTTTTGGATTTTTTAAAAATGTGGACCGGACACCACCTCTGAGGTCAGAAGACCTGGATTCAAATCCCATTTCTGAGATTTACTACCTCTGTGATCTTAGGTCATCATGAGGTTAAACTAAATGGACTCTGACTCCCTTCTGTGTCTAAATCCCCAATCCTTTAACAATGACCTAACCTTTTCTTGAGGCTAGGTTCCTAACAGGCTCTCCGCTTGTATCCAGAACTAGGATTAGTGCAAGGATCAAGCAGAGCCGAGTCCGAAAGTGAAGGCAAGAATTTACATTTCATGGAAAGAGGGAAGAAACTGACTTCTTTCTCTTTATTTAACGTGTAAGTTTATTCTTTGTTATTTTATGGACATCTCTTTTTTCAGATAGTAAACATAAAGTACTTACTATATGCCAAGTACTGTGCTAGGCACTGGTGATACAAAGGCAAAAATGACAGAGTCCCTGCCTTCAAAAACCATTCCTTAAGGGAGATGATATAGAAGTATGTGCAAATACAAAGTATAAGGTGGTTTGGGAAGGGAAGGCACAAACAACTGAGGGGATCAGGAAAGACTTCAGGTAGAACTGGAGGTGGTTCTCAATGGAAGTAAAAGAGTCTATGAGGTGGTAAAGTGAGGAGGGAGTGCATTCAAGGCATGAGGTATGGCCAGTGCAAAAATATGGAGATGGGAGAGGGAGACTTCTAGGGGAGGAACAGAGAGGAGTGGGTTTGGCCATACTGTAGGGTGTAGGAAGGAGAGTAATGTATAATAAGACCGGAATGCTAGGGGCTAGATTATGAAGGGCCAAACAAATGTATATTTGCCCCTAAAGATCATAGGGAGTCATTGAAGTTTATTGAGTTGGGGGGGTGACATAGTCAGACCTAGACTTAAGGAAAATTATCTTTCCAAACTGAAGGGGTATTTACTTCAGTACTTTGATCTATAATCTCATAAATGTGGATACAACCATACCTCATTCTAAGGGCATCATATTCCTTTTCAGATTTCATCTTTCCAGACTAAAGAGATGAAAGTGATGATTTGTCCTTACATAAGGTCTACTATCCCAAATAGTAGAATTGAAATGTTGTCTTAGTTGTGCTGTTACTTTTTCTAAACCCATGTTATTTTAATTTATGATGTAGAAAGACTGGAAGAATATAATACAAATGTATTTGTTTCTCAAGTTGTATCTTTTACAGGTTTCTGTTTTCTCATGGTGGTTTAGCAAGAAAGGAGTACATGCACAGGACTTTTATCAAGTATCTTTTATTGGCATTGTCAATATAATTTCAAATACATAGACCCATATAAATTTAAAATAAATTTGACTTTATTGTCGGAAATTAGATTGTATTTCTTGTAGCACTCCTTTTTGACAGAGCTCTTAGACATGGGAATGCTTGGGTTTTTTTTACCTTTATAGGGAGTAACTTTTAATATTTGACAGTTACAATTTCTGCAAACTTAATTTTAAGGTAAGATGAAGCTTTTCAATTTGGTCCCAGTCTTAGAAGTTACTGATCAAAGAAGCTAATTCTGATAGCCATCATAGATATTAAGTACATCCCAAATCCAGTAAGTCAGCAATCATTTAGTAAGCACGCACTATGTGCCAGATAACTGTGCTAAGTACTAGGTAATTAGCAATACCTAAATTCATTCTTTCAAATGCAACACGTGTCCATGCTGTCTGCTATGGCATAAATTTCTTGGCAATATCTCAGACCTAACTGTGTTAAACACTATGACTGCCTGTGTCTGTGTTTCTAAACTGGCCCAATTAAAATGGGCTATCTATAAAATGCCATAGTAAAATGTCTGCCACATAGGTACAATAGAATTCTTCTGAGGTTAATTACGAAGAAGAAAACTATTGTGCCTGTATAGATATTTTTAATGGTTAAACAAATTATGTTCTGTGTGCTAATATAAAAACAGCATTGTAAGCATATGCTTTTGGTATTATATCAGGCTTTGATATGTATTGGCTCAGAACCTTTAATAAAATATTGTCCACTTCTTTTAATTTTCTGCATTTGTCTTATATTGCTTTAACACAAAGAAAACAAATATAGCCTGTAGGAATATTTTAGAGCCAGTATAATTATTTCTTTAATTTCCTTAGTATTTTTTAAAGGATTTTATAGACTAAGCAGCTTCATCATTATAGTTAACAGTCAAAAATAAATTAAGAAGCTAAATGAAAACTGCATTTTTCCTCCCACCCCTGTGTCTTTCAGAAATGTATGCATACTCGTTTACTAGCAGAGAAAAAGAGATTGCATTTTGGTACATTCAAGTACAGATTCCAAGTTAATTGAGACATTTCATATGCAGGTGTGCATTTACAAGACTTGGGTTTTGTCATTGTTTTGACATTACTACAGAAACAAAAGTTAAGACACAAAGTATATTAAGTAGACACCAAGTGCATCACTATCTCCCTCTTCCCCAATTCATCTTCATGAAATATTAGCAGCTTTAATATAAAGGTAAATTATGGCTTGCAGTGGTGACATAATGAGCATTTCAAATTTCTATGCCTAAAATCATAAAAGTATAAGCAATGTTTTTAGATTATAGCATAAGGCTGTGATCATTACTTGGTTTTAGTAATATGATTTGATATGTTTTTTTCATATTAAAATACTTTAAATTTATTTACTCTGCAGCAAAGGATACCATCAAAGAAATATATGATCAAAACAGAAGGTGGGCTGGTCATGTGTTGAGTGTGATAACTGACAAGTAGCCCATGGACTTCATGGTATCCTCATGATACCAAGAGAATGTGAGAAAGGTCTGGCATGATGAATGGACCCTCTCTGACAAACTTATGGGAGGCCATGAACAGGTGTTTTACAGGACAGGCAGGCATGTTGCAACCCACATCAGCCACATCAATGAGATCATAGATCCAATTTGAATGAATATATTTAGCTGTCCTAATGATAAGGAAAGTATTCTACAGAGCCTACATGAAAGCTTAATTAAAAAGAGTTCTTCTAGAACACTAAAGGATGAGAGCTGGTAGAAGTTTTGAGTTTATATTTGCCAATTCCCCCTCCCCTACCTTTTACCTTACACAAAAGAAAAAGAAGCCCAGAGACCTTTTTACTGCAGAGAAGAATCCATAATCGGCTTCAAAGACAGAAAAACAGTGACAGGTCATTTTTAAGGCTATTGGGAAAATTAAGATTTTGATGTCAAAATCTGAAATATTTTTGAGAAGGTAGAACTGATCAATGGAGGTTTCCTTTCTGTCCAAAGACCTTCATCAATTTAGAATGCTCCAACTCAGTCACAACTATGTTGGATTTCATGGGGTAAAGGGATTCAAATTACATGAAAAATCCACATCATAGTTTGGTTTGACACCTTTGTCCCAGTTAAATGGGGCAGTTACATAGCATCAAGGCAACAGAAGTGAAATTAATCTTAGAGGTTTAAATCATCTGGATTGCTAAGCAGAAAATATTTGTGGAGAATGAAATTATAAACCATGGATCATTGACCAGTTTGGTATTGCAGGTGGGATTTACCCAACAAAAGTAAAGATAAAATTTCTTTCCATTTTGTCCATTTTATTGCCTTGAGACTTGAGATTTGCTGAGTAGGAATGATCTCTTTATACAACATCTGAATTTTCTCTGGCTCTTGGCTCTGTAGAAAACCTGCCTATTTAACCTGTTGGTGAGATATATGCCTGACAGTCTTCCATTCCCTAGGGATTTTTTACAATGAAAAAAACCCATGAGAGGAGTGTGTAACATTAGCAGCATTATCCAAATGAAGCTGGTTTTGCAGCATGTTTTTCCACCTCAGAGACAGATAATTCTCTAGAAGGTGCCCCTTGCTGAGGCATAGTAACATGTATAAACTCTACTTACCTTCTGGACAATCAATTTTCATTATTTTGTTTTTAAAATCAGTTCAAATAAATTAACATTTTCCGCATTGGTCTAAGATAGAATTATAACTATTTGGGGCCCAAAGTAAATTGACTTCAGCTATAGTACTAAGGATGTTATAAATCCCCTTTAAGAAACCTATAGCATCTAATTGAATGTAAAAGTCATTAGATGTGTGGAAGAGCCCTAGGAGGCTCAGGTCCTGAATTTATGGATGTTAGATTCTAATTTGGATGAAAACTTTGCAAAAATCCTTATGGTTACAGAAGAGAAAGTTCAAGACTGTAAGTTAGCACATCTAATGTCAGTTTTAATTTGTTCTCATTTAATTTGTGCACATTTTGCCTTATTAAAAGCACAAAATTTGGGGCAAAATGTAAGGCCTTTCTCCTTAGAAAAAAAAAAGGCTGAATCCTCCTTGAGGAGCCACCCACCAGGGTTTTTATATTTGGAAAAAGCCATTTGTCCAGAAGGCTTGCAACAGTCTATCCAACTGCAACTTTGAACTTGGAAACTAGTTAGACATGTAGACATTAGGGTAATCAAGTCATGAGGTTCTACTGTGCAGCACTGAGAAAGGTTTCTATATCTAACAAGGTTATCTATTTTCAAATGCCTTTCTAATTAAATTGGAATAATTTTAATCATCTGAGAAATGCATCTATAACAAGCCATAGGACACATTAAACTATATATTGTATACTTGTAAAGTGAATTATACATAAAAATATCTGTGCAAACTAAAAAATACATTGCATCAACAAATTCTTGGGAGAGAACCTTAACATACTTTAGCATTATCATTTAAGTTATATAAAATATGTCTTCTGTAAAAGTACAAATAAAAAAAAATTAAATTATGCCTAGGGAAATAGCCAGGCTCATTTCTTTAGTACTAACTAAAGTTTTATCCACCTAAATTATTGCTTAGTCCCACTGGAGCAATCAACAAAGTTCAATCCTATTTATTTCTCATGTGACAGTGCCCTAAACATCCAGCTGTCCCCAAGCTTGTTTTTCTGAAACTTGTCACTGTGGAGTAAAATTCTGTAATCCTGTTGTTAACAGAAGCTACCCATTGCTGGATTTGTCGGGATCCAACGTCGAATCTTGTTGTGATCCTATTTGTGCCATGAAACTATTAGTCTGTGGTCCCCAGTCATAGTAATCTGGTGCATAGCTTAAAAAGAAAAAAAATACTTTTCCAACATTTCTTTTACATTTCTCATATCAGTTTGTAGACAATTACTTAGAGATGGACAGATATTTAAAAGGCCCACACATCCTTGTGCCCCCCGGCCCCCCTCTTCTTCCCACTCCCCTTCCCTAGGCAGAAACCAAAATATTGTTTCCACACAGGTTTTGCCACCATTCTAGGAAATAAGCCTATTTATTTCCCCCTAATAGTATAAATATAGCAGTAGGGTATGTTGGCTTCTTTTCAGCCTTACCTGGTACAACATCTGGTTATCTCATAGCCAGATCTACTTTTAGTCAATCACTTCTACTGACTATACATATAGTCATGGGATCATAAATTTAGAGCTGGAAGGGAACTTAGACGTCATTCAGATCAATTCCTTCATTTTACAAATGAGGGAAACTCAGGCTCAGAGAGTTTGTGACCAAAGATAAACTTGCAGCAAAATACCAACGTGAAGTTTCAAGACATGTGCCTTCTTTCCATTCCTCTGTGTGTGTGTGTGTAGACAGTTTTCAACTTACAGTTACACCTGAGTGACTTTGACAAAGAGACATGACATCTACCCTAAAGTATTTAAAAGGCAGCCTTTTAGAAGATCAGATTTGTTCTGCATGGACCCAGGCGACAACTGGGAACAATGGGTGGAAGCAGAAAAAAGTCAAGTTTAGACTTTTTCCCCATTTCCTAATAATAACAGCAGTCCGAAGGTAGAGTGAGCTGTCTGGGGAGATAATCCCTGGGGAGGGATTCCTCCTCACTGTAAGTCTTCAAGCTAGGGCTGAATGACCACTCAGGGACATTACAGAAGTAATTCTTTCTCATGTATGGGTTGGACTACACCCACTGAGGCTGCTTTCAACTTGATACTCTATCATGATGCCTCCCCCTACACTTTTCCCTTCTATCCTACTCATCCTGCCCCAACCCCAATGGAATAGGAACAATTTGGAGAAACTGACATGAAGTGACTCACATCCCTTCCTCTGTGAGAGCCTCTATCCAAAAATATTTGGATTATCCTATCGCGGGATTGGATGTAAAGATAAGGCATGGATAAAACTTTTTTTTAAGGATGCAAAGAGATAAGCCTGCATTCTCCTTAAAAATGGAAACATTCCAGTGAGAGTTAAAAGGGTGTCCCCTCATTCATCAAGGATCTAGAATTAATAAGGGAATGAGAGTTTTGATTAGACTGGGGACAAAGGGAAGGTTGGGGATGGTAGCTATGGTTGCAACCTGGACAACTTTGTGAAAGGAACACCCCAGGTGGGAGTTACAAGGCAATGTGTAAGTATCTAGGTCTTTAGAGAGAGGCACTAGGAGGTGAGAGGGTTTCAAAAACAAATTCCTTATGTTTCAAATTGTGTGTATGTGTGGGGTGGGGGTGGGGGGCCAGGTCTGTGTTCAGGAAAAGAGGAGATTCTTCTTTCTACTTTTTTCTACAGCACACAAGCCAGAATTCTGGCCCCAGTGGTATAGTTATAATAATAATAATAATAGCAGCTAACATTTATATAACACTTTTAAAATAGCACACATTTATATGTTCCAGGCACTGTGCTAAGTGCTTTATAATTATTATCTCAGTTAATCTTCACAACTATTCTTGGAGGTAGATTATATCCATTTTACAGATGTAGAAACTAAGGCAGACAGGTTAAGTGATGTACCCAGGGTCACACAGCTAGTAAGTGTCTGAGGCTGGATTTGAACTTGGGTCTTCTTTTGTTCTGTTTTTTTGGTGAGGCAGTTGAGGTTAAGTGATTTACCCAGAGTCACACAGCTAGCGAGTGTTAGGTGTCTGAGGCCAGAGTTGAACTCGGGTCAATGTTCTATCCACTGTGCCACCTAGCTGCCTCAGGGTATCCTTTAGCTACATCATAAATTAAATAATTTTTTTGGTGAGCTAACCAGAGAATCTAACTACCATGTAGAGCATAGTTTCTATGAGAAAATGTGTTTTAAGTCCCAACTAACCAACTTAAGAACATTTGAAAAAATAGTTTGTTCCTAAATTGAGGACTTTACCTATAGAACAATACTCTTGCACAGAGGTGAAAGTAAAAGGAACATATGTGTATATGTGTGTGTATAACCGATTCACGGATAGTTTAGTCTTAGTGGTAGAGAGCAGGATCGTAGCTCTATAGCGGAAAGAGACCTCAGAGGCCAGTAAATAAATAATGTGACTTGAGGGAGCTCACTTGCCCCTAGATATCTCCTCATCTAGTCAGAAATTCTCACCATTTGCTTTTATTAGTTTATACAGCCTTAATGTTTAGCAAGGGACAGAAGAACTAGGGCAATGTGACACCTGGAGTGGGCATTGATACTAGATGTCAATAAAAATCCTTTGCCTGTTTCACAGTTCTGCTTAGTGCTCGCCTTGAGTCCAGTGGAACCAGAATTATTACTTAAACCAAGAGATATTAACCTGGACCTCCCGCCGCCCCCTCATCCCATGCCTTTAAGATTAACCTTCAATTGCAGCTAATAATAATTCAAAATTTCAACAGTTTGCCATTGCTACCTAGTAATTGTTCTGATTAATTATTCATAATTAATCCCACTCTGAGATATCTGACTAAAGATGTATGCAATTTTAGGATTCTGGTGCTTTTAATTTTAATTTAATTCAATATCCTGGTGACTTTATTTTTATCATGTGTCAATCTCTTCTTCTCCATGGACATTCTGGGATGGCTGCACAATGATCTAGGACTCAGGAGTGGGGAACCTGTGGCCTCGAGGCCACACGTGGCACTGGAGGACCTAGCTCCTTATACCTAGATATCCATTTCATGTATCACATCTACCTAGTCCTCAGAGATTGTATAAAGAGAATTTCCAATTTGGGTCTCTCTTATTGCAGTAAGAGAAGGCTTTTTCTTTCTCATTCACTGTTTGCCCAAAGAAGATTCTCCTCTCACCTTCCCTGAAGCCCTTGAGGGGCGATGTTCCAAGCAAGGTCATCATCACTGTCATATCTTCGAGGGTTGTCGAAGAAATAGGATCTAGGGCTAAATCCATGACTTGGGACCATTCCAGGATTTGTCTGGAAGAACAATCAGATGATGAAACATTTCTCTCCTCTCAGCAGTGTCAATGGATGCCAGGCACAGAATGATGTATGAGCTGGCAGAAATGGTTAACAACTATTTGTTGACCTTACCTGTTTTTGTCTATAACAAAGGAAGATTCCAATGGGGGAAATGGAAGGACAGAATTGGGAAGTAATTGTTATGCTTTTTAAAGTATCATCATTAAAAAATAAAAAACAGAGTCACCGGAGACTTTAGGCCTCCTTATCTGAATACGGACTGTTCCCACATGCAACTCACCGACTGAGTTATTCCTATGATCTGTCTTCTGCTACACATAAAAATCTGAGTGCTTGTAGAATACTCTCCAACACTTATTATATATGTAAGTTGTTTTTTGTTCCTCCTGAATGGATTTTCTTATGAATCTGACTGAGAGGGGTTTCTGCAATCAAGTTAATCACACTGAGCATTAAGAGGGCCAAAATGAACCAAGGCACCATGCCTATAATCACTGGTACAAGGGGAAGTTAGTGGATCTCTGAAATTTGGGAGTTTTGAGCAGCAGGAGGGCTAAAGCCAAACAACTCCTAATGAGACCCCAGGACGAATGAATTGCCAGGCTGCCTAGGGAGGGGTGAACTGGCCCAAGTTGGAAAAATGAACAGACTGAATGCTCTGTGCCAATCAGCATTAGGATTAGGCCTGTGAGTGGCCACTGCACTTCCAACCCAAGTGAGACTCAACTGGGAGACCCAATCCTTTGCTATGTGACCTTAGTGTGCTGTATAAAAAACAGTGAGAATGAGACAAACTGGAAACCATGCTTTCCCATGTAGAGTCTAATATGAATTAAGGAAACTGGACTCTGTTCTTCTCCTGAGCAAAATCCACATTAGCAGGCTATACATTAAGTCCTTCTATTTTTAGGAATTTAATTTGTGCTCTAATACTTTATGATCCCAGGGGAAGTTACTGCCCTAGACCTAGCTATGGCACTGTCTGGTAGCCTTGCTCAAAGGTATCTTACAGAACTACCTGTACTCTGCCATACAAGTCCAGTTGCTGAGAGTGGAATGTCATTAATAAGTTGTGTCCAAATGACTTCTTGAGTGCAGCACAAACAAAATGACATCTAATAACATTGCTTCTCCACTTGTGCCCTTCCCTATGAATAAATTAGGTGCTGATGTCCCTTCAGGCCACTAGGGGACAGTTTTGCTATAACAAATCCACTAAGAAACTGACAATACATTCAATGGTAAATGTATGGCATAGCTATTGAAGCAAACACTGTATGAAATATGATTAAGATGGCCAACAATTTCTCTTGGGCAACAAAATTTGGGGGCACGGATTAAACTGTAAATACATATAGTTTGTTGTTGTTACTGATCAATTTGATTCCATTTGACAAGTATTCAATAAAATGACTTGGAACTAAAGTATATCTAAATATTGCATTTGCTTCTAAATCTTCATGGCTTTTACATATAATAATTAATAATAATGATAATGATAAAGAGTGGCTAGCCCTTATATAGCCCTTTAAGGCTTGCAAATTGCTTTACATACATTATCTCATTTTCTATTCACAGATTTATTTAACAAACCGATCACTGTGCTAGGCACTAAGAGGAGATATAAAAGGTTAGATAAAACACAGGCCCTAGATGGCACAGTGGATAGAGCTCTGGCCTTGGAGTCAGGAAGAGCTGAGTTCAAATCTGGCCTCAGACACTTGACACTTACTAGCTGTGTGATCCTGGGCAAGTTGCTTAACCCAGATTGTCTCACCAAAAAAGCAAAAAATAAGAAACCCCAAAAACAAACAAACAAACAAGAAGCCACAGTCCCTGTGTCATATCTCAACACAGATAAGTGTAATATACAATACTGCATGATAAATCATTAGAAAGTTAAAAAAAAATAAAGTGCTATTTGAGACGATCCAAGAAGGAAAGCTATTATCACCCTGAGGTCAAGATGAGTATTCAGAACAATCCTGTGGTACTTCCCACTACAGCAAAGGACATTTAAAAACTAAGAAGCCAATTTGTAGTTCTTGGACTCCATCTTTGCACTGGCTGCCTGCCGTGTAGAGAATGCTCTGCCCCATCCCATCCCTCCACCTTTTGATTTCTCTGGCTTCTTTCAGGACTCAGCCCAAGTCTAACCTTCAAACACAGGCCTTTCCTAGTGAGTCCCTTCTCAAACGACCTTGCCCCTATTCTGCATATATCTTGTATACGTGTTGTTTCCCCCATTAGAATGTAAACTCTTTGAGAGCATGGATTGTTTTTGCCTTTTTTTGTATTCCCAAACCACAGTACCTGGTATGTAGTAAGAGTTTAATAAATGTCTGTTGAATGATTGGCAGAAGTCAGGTCAACTAGCATTAATTTATTATTAGTCAATACTGAGGCCACCTCTGGAGACTAAAGTTTTGCCCCACTAAGTCTCCTCCTCTATCCAGTCCAACAGCCTCCCCAGAAAACTTAACTAGCTGCCTTCAAAGTAGTAAGAATGTCAAGGTAGCTCCTTATTGTCTAAAAAAGTAAAGTCCAAACTCCTTAGCCTGGCATTGAAGGCTCTCCACAGACTGAACTCAACCTTTTTGTCTTTACTTCCCAATGCACCCCTTTATTTTTTCTCTGTTGTGGAGAAACTATATGACTCACTATTCCCCAACAACACAGAATCCTTGGATGAACAGATTAAGAGCAGAGAGGGATCTTAGAGGTCATCTGTAATTTTACAGATGAGGAAGCTAAGGCCCAGAGAGATGAAATTAATAGCTCAAATATAGTAAGCTGAAAAGCCTGGCCTCAAATCCATCCTGTGCTCTCTTGCTTTCATGCCTTTCCTTATATCATTCCCTTGGCCTGCAAAACCTGCCAATCCTCCCCATCCTTCCAAACTATACCTGTTTAGATCTCTTCCTGTGTTTCAAATTCCAGGACAAATTCTCTGCTTTCATGAAACCTTCTCCCATCCTCTCATCCTGAAGATCTTTCAGAACCATGTGCACCTGTCCTGTGTTATAGTTATCTACATACATATATATATATATATATATATATATATATATATATATATATATATATATATATATATATACATCTTATCTCTTCCTAGTCAGTCAGTCAATAAACATTACTATGTTCTGGGCACTGTGCTAAGTGTTGGGGGTACAATGAAAGGCAAAAACTAGGTACATATGAAATATATACAGAGATGGTAAAAGGTAATTTGAGAGGGGAAAACACTAGATTGCAAACTTTTTAAGGGGGGAAGACTGTGTCTTATTTTTATATTTTCCACAGTACCAAGTACAATGTTCTGCATACAAAAAACAGAAATAGCTCAAATATAGAAATCACTTTACAAAGTACTTTCTTTACAACCACCATGTGAAGTAGGTTAGTGGAACAGTGGAAGAATTATTATACCCATTTTGTACATAAGAGGTTCAGAAAGATTAATCAATTCAAACCCAAGTTTTCTAACTCCAACTTCAATGTCTTTTCCACTGTACCATACTGACCCAGAACAGGTACTTGGTAAATGTTTAGTATGTGCAGTTCTATGCCTAACTACCCAGGTTGAAGATTTTAAGGCCCCTTGGCTTCTCCAGCTAGCAACTAACCTACCTTCTCTCATTAACTTTGTCATTAGTGAAATTACCTAGGAAAGGAAAAAGTGGTAAAACTTGCTGCTGGGACAGATTTCCAGTTTGGTTCAGAGAAGAGTTACACTCTTGGCTGACCACAACAACTTTTAATTATTTGTGGGTATCATAGGTATCTGAAATTTCCCTGTCATCTCTACTTTGCCATAGATGACTGACCATTAACAACGCCATATAATTGGGACAAAATATTGGTAGCTTAATTCCTAGCACTTGGGAAGGTATAAACTAGGAAAGAACATTGAGCTCCTTGGCTCTCCAATCAAATAAAAAGTCTACCAAAATTCTTGCCCCTTGTCCTTGTTCTGTATTGGTCCATCCTATCTCTATGGATGTTTCTCCAAAAGTCAGCTGGGCCCCAAACATACTCAAAGAGGCTACATAACACTTTTAAGATACTTCACAATTGTATCCCTTTCAGTGACAAATTATATCCACTACTCTCAGGAGACACTTGCATTGCAATAGTGGTTATAACCACTGCCAACAGGGGGGTGGTAGGAGGTAGTTGAATTCTGTTGTATTCCCATCTTAACAGTTTGCTTTGCTAGAAGATAAGATGGGGGGAGGTGGAGCCAAGATGGCAGAGTGAAAGCAGTGACTTGCTTGTGCTCTCTCCCAAACCCCTCCAAATACCTATAAAAAATGGCTCTAAACAAATTCTAAGCAGCAGAACCCAAAAAAAGACAGAGTGAAGCAAATTTCCAGCCCAAGACAACTTGGATGGTTGACCAGAAAGGTATATCATGATGGGTGGGTAGAGGAGCGCAGTGTGGTGTGGGTGCGCAGGCCACAGTGAACCTGGAACAGCCTCAGAGGACTGAATCTCAGGCAGCTGTGGCAACTTCCAGACCTCTCAACCCACAAACACCAAAGACAACTTAGAAGGTCAGTCGGAAAAGTCTGTTTCTGCAGTGAGAGAGGAGCTAGGTCAGAACCAGTTCCAGAGCTCAGAGCACAGAGCACGGGTGCTGGGGCAGTGGCTGTGTTCTGAGCTTCTGGCCCCCAGACTGAGGGGGAAATGAGTAGCTGATCAGAGGGGGATTGCAGAGATCTATTTGTCAGTGCTGAGGCAGGAATCTCTTGCTTTGCCCATGCTTGGATCTGGGTCACAGTCCTGGGCGGTGGTCCTGGGGCGAGGAGGAGTGCTGGCCTGGTGGAGCTTGTAGTGACTGTGTAGAGGAACCCCTCCTCACAGTTATGGGACAAAAAGGAGTGCTTGTGGTCACTAATAGACCGGAGCACAGGCCAGGAAAGGAGTAAACACCTCCCCCTTATCATACCACCTTGCAAGATCTGAAAGTTTACAGGTCCCTACAAGTATCTCTGTACATTCTCCACGTTGGAGGCAGACTCTTACCTTAACAAAGAATTAAAAACTCAAGTAATTGGCTGGGATCATGAGCAAGCAGCACAAAAAGAGTCAGACTATATTATCTTACTTTGGTGACAAAGAAGATCAAAACATACAACCAGAAGACAACAAAGTCAAAGCTCCTATTTCCAAAGCCTCCAAAAAAAAAAGATGAATCAGTTCAGGCCTTGGAAGAGCTCAAAAGGGATTTTGAGAAGCAAGTAAGAGAAGTAGAGGAAAAACTGGGAAGAGAAATGAGAGTGATGCCAGAAAATCATGAAAAACAAGTCAACAGTTTGCTAAAGGAGACCCAAAAAATACTGAAGAAAATAACACCTTAAAAAATAGCCTAACCCAAATGGCAAAAGAGGTCCAAAAAGCCAATGAGGAAGAATGCCCTAAAAAGAAAAATTGGCCAAATGGAAAAGGAAGTCCAAAAGCTTACTGAAGAAAATACTTCCTTAAAAATTAGAATAGAGCAATTGGAAGCTAGTGACTTTATGAGAAATCAAGACACTGTAAAACAAATCCAAAAGAATGAAAAATTAGAAAACAATGTGAAATATCTCATTGGAAAAACAACTGACCTGGAAAATAGATCCAGGAAGAGAATTTAAAAATTATTGGACTATCTGAAAGCCATGATCAAAAAAAGAGCCTAGACATCATCTTTCAAGAAATTATCAAGGAAAACTGCCCTGATATATTAGAACCAGAGGGCAAAATAGAAATTGAAAGAATCCACCAATCTCCTCCTGAAAGAGATCCCCAAAGGAAAACTCCTAGGAATATTGTAGCCAAATTCCAGAGTTCCCAGGTCAAGGAGAAAATATTACAAGCTGCCAGAAGGAAACAATTCAAGTACTGTGGAAACACAATCAGGATAACACAAGATTTAGCAGCTTCTACATTAAAGGACCGCAGGGCATGGAATATAATATTCCTGAGGGCAAAGGAGATAGGATTACAACCAAGAATCACCTAGCAAAAACTGAGTATAATCCTTCAGGGGAAAAATGGTCATTCAGTGAAATAGAGGACTTTCAAGCATTCTGATGAAAAGACCAGAGCTGAATAGAAAATTTGACTTTCAAATACAGACTCAAGTGGAACATGAAGAGGTAAACAGGAAAGAGAAATCATAAGAACTTATTAAGTTGAACTGTTTACATTCCTGCATGGAAAGGATATTTATAACTCATGAGACTTTGTCAGTATTAGGGTAGTTGGAGGGAAAATATGTATGTATGTAGATAGATAGATAGATAGTAGATAGATGATAGGTAGATAGGCACAGGGTGAGTTGAAGATTAAGGGGTCATATCTGGAGAATAAAATTAAGGGATGAGAGAGGATTATACTAGGAGAGAAGAAAGGGAGAGGTAGAATGGGTAAATTCTCACAAAAAAACAGAAAAGAAAAGGCTCTTACAGTGGAGGGGAAACGGGGAAGGTGAGAGGGAATGAGTGAATCTTATTCTCATGGGATTTGGCTTAAGGAGGGAATAACATACACATTCAATTGGGTATGGAAATCTGTCTTACCCTACAGGAAAATAGGGGGGAAGGGGACAAGAGAGCAGGGGGATGATAGAGAGGAGGGCAGATTGGGAAAGGGGTAATCAGAAAAATACTTCTGAGGAGGACAGGGTCAAAAGAAAGAATAGATAAATGGGGGGCAGGACAGGATTAAGGGAAATAGAGTTAGTTTTTCACAACATGTCTACTATGGAAGTGTTTTGCATAACTGCATATGTATAATCTATATTGAGTTGCTTGCCTTTTCAATGAGGGTGGGTGGGGAGGGAGGAAGGGAAAAAATTTGGAACCCAAAGTTTTAAAAACACATGTTTAAAAAAAAGTTTTCATATACAACTGGGAAATAAGAAATACAGGAAATGGGGTACAGAAGTCTATCCTGCCCTACAGGAAAATAGAAGGGGAAGAGGATAAGAGAAGGGAGGAGAGAGAAAGAAGAGAGGGCAGACTAGGGGAAGGGGTATTCAGAATGCATGCCATCTTGGGGTGGGGGGAGGGGCGAGATGGGGTGAAAATTTGGAACTCAAAATCTTGTGGAAGTAAATGTTGAAAACTAAAAATAAATAAATTATATCAAAAAAGTAAAAAATATATATGCACAATTAAAAAAAATTTTTTTTAATTAAAAAAAAAAAGAAGATAAGATGGCAAATTCAGATTTCCCAGTTCAGATCTGGTGTTCTAATGACAATGAAGTGGTCACCAACTGGAAAACATTCACTTCTCTTCAGCCTCACAGAATTAAACTCATTTTCATGCCTTTGCAAAACAAAACAAAATGAAATACTTGAGAAGAAAACATATTTCAGAGCTGTTAGGGGAAAGGAAGACAATTTGTTGTTGTTCAGTTGTTTCCAACTCTTCATTACCCCATTTGGAATTTTCTTGGCAAAGACATTGAAGTGGTTTGCCATTTTCTTCTAGAGCTAATTTTACAAATGAAGAAGTGAGGCAAACAGGGTTAAGTGACTTATCCAGGGTCACACAGCTAGTAAGTGTCTAAGGCTGGATTTGAGCTCAGGAAGATGAGTCTTCCTATCTCTAGGCCTGGCACTCTATCCACTGCACGACCTAGCTGCCCTAATGAAGACAATAACTGTCCCCAGTGACCAGAAAGCTCTCCGTTCTGATTTAGTTTCTCTGACCTCCTTCAAATATGTATGCATGCATGTGTGTGTGTGTGTGTGTGTGTGTGTGTGTATCTGTTTCTTATTTATTTGGGAATGGGATTCTTTATCTCGCCCTGGCTGTGGTGGCCAGTGGCCATTCCCACTACTGATAAACATGGAAGCTTTGACTTGCTCCATTTCTGACCTGGGCCAGTTTGTCCTTCCTTAGGCATACTGATGTCCTGCTCCGACCTCCATCCCGTTCCCAGAGGCTTACCACTTTAGTGCTAGATTTAATGTGGGCTTTAGCTCAGAACTCCTGTGTTCAAGTGTTCTACCAGCCTCACCCTCCCTAGTAGGAGAGATTATAGACATGATCTACCACGGCCGGCTGGCAGAACTTTTTAATATCCCATGGGATGGTTGAGTGAGTTTCTCTGTTATAACAATTTCAAAGTCTAAAAATGAGACCCTGCATGGCCAAAAAACCCCAAACAAACCCAAAACCCAAAATTCTAGTATTCACTATTATATCAATATATGTATATCTCCAGTATATGCTAGTATTAGAATACAATACTATTCACTATTATGTTATAAGAGTTCCCTTCCTCCCTCTCTCCAATGAAATACAAATCAATTTACTTACTAGGTCCTTTGTAGGATTTCTAACTCGGAAGAAGTAAACGACTAAGGTGGTGGGCAGAAGCTCCCACACAAAAAGGACCACTCCAAACACTACATATCCAGCGTCTCCAAGCTGACTCTTCAGATCTGCCTGTTAAGACAAAAAGAATGGAGAAATGGACCTGATTATACTGGATAATGTCACAGAAGAAAAGGCGGATTGTGCTTATTTAGAAGTGAGTGCAACATAATAACTCTGAACCTATTCCTGACCCTCTTCCCCCCAAAATATACACGTCTAAACCATGAGATCTTTTATAGTAATGCCAGAAAAGACCTTGAGTAGTCATATTATCCAGCCTCCTGAGGGACACTGATGGTTGTTTGAACTTTTTATGTTCAACGGTCATCCTTCTTAAATGTCAAGTGTTTAAAAAAAACAAATGGGTAGTTTTTTCTACATCCATTGATATAATGTATGATTTTTTTCAATAAGTGCAAAAAAAGTTTTGACAAAATACAATATCCTTGAAAAACTAGAAAACCTAGGAATTAAATGGGCCTTACCTTAACATGGTAAATAGTATATATTTAAAACTAAAAGCCAGCATTACATATAATGGGGATAAATTAGAGTTCTTTCTAATAAGATCAAGGGCAACTGAGGATGTACATTGTCACCACTACTATTTGATTTAATCCTAGAAATGGTAGTTGTAGCATTAAGACAAGAAAAAGAAATCAGCATAGAAATGAGCATAGATAAAGAAGAAACATTATCTCTTCTTGCAGATTTTTTTTAGAAGAGGAAAAGGACCTATATGTACAACAATATTTATGACAGCTCTTTTGAGGGATGTCTATCAATTGGGACAGCTGAATAAATCACGGTATATGAATGTGACAGAATGCAATTGTGCTTATGTAAGGAAGGATGAAGGGTATGGTTTCAGAAAAAACCTAGCAAGACTTCAATAAGCTGATAGAGAATGAAGTGAATCGAGCCAGGAGGACAATCTATTGTTAAAACAATGACAACAATCAAAAACTAGCAATTTTGAAAGACTTAACTCTGGTCAACGCAATGATGAACATGATTCCAGAGGCCTAAGAATGAAGAATGCTACCTACTTCTGAAGAGAAAGGTGATGAAGTAAGACAGTATGCAGAATGAATTACACATTTTTTGACTTGGCCAATATGGAAATTTGCTTTCCTTGACTATGCCTATTTGTTACAAAGCTTTTGTTTTGTTTTAATTTTCCCCAGGCAGAAGGGAAGAGGGGACTTAGGAAGGAGAAAAAAACAAATGCTTGGCAACTGAAAAAATGTAATTAAAATTATCAAAAAGAACAGAAACTCCCCGTTCTCAGTTTGTCAATTTCAGTGGTTCATCATAATACCAGCCAAGTAATTCTTCCTTTTGTCCAAGTGGAATCTTCCTGCTTGGTTTTCTTTCTTTCTTTTTTCTTTCTGTTTTTTGACACAATGGGGTTAAGTGACTTGCCCAGGGTCTTACAGCTAGTATCCTCCTGCTTGATTTCCAGTCTGTTTTTTCCTTTAGCTCTCTGGAGACATGCCCAAAACATTACTTAGCATCCTCTCTACAAAAGCCCATTGTACTCTTGACTGCAATATGTAACGGTCACCCCTTAGCTCCTTCTGCAGAATCAACACCCCAATTCCTTTAACCTATCTTCATAAACCACATTTTCCTTTTCTTAAAATTTCTATCAAACTTCTATGGACCTTTTCCAGTTTCTCTCTTTCTTGTTTTCTAATAATGAGGCAACTAGGTGGCACAGTGGATACAGTGTTAGATTTGGAATCAGGAAGATCTGAATTCAAAACCAGCCTCAGACAGTTTTTAGCTGTGTGACTCTGGGAAAATTGCTTAACTTCTCTACGTCTACGTTTCCTCATCTGTAAGATGGGGATAATAATACCTTTCCTCACAGGGGTTTTGTAATAACCAAATGAGATAACACATGTAAAATGTTTTCCAAACGTTAAAGCACTATCTATATGGTAGCTATTATTATATAGTCACCTAAACTGGTTACATTACTCTGCTGAGAATAATTTCCCAATCCCTGTATGTCATGCTTCTTTGGAATCCATCCCAAAGTTCTGTTGGTTTTTTCCACAGCTGCATTATGGCAATGACTCATGGAGAGTTTGTGGTCAACCACTGTGTCGGTCTCTCTCTCTTTGCCGTACCAATCCCCCTCCTGTTTTTCTCAGGTGGATTTAACTTTACATAATAAATATACCCTAAACATTATCAACTTTTCATAAATTTGACCACATTTTAAATGTTATACAGACTGTCTGCAGTCTATATATGTTTAAGTGTTATATAACCGTCAGTTATCTATACATGGTCTGCCCCTAAAATTGAATCCTTTAAAAAAAATAAGATTTTTTTTTTGTAATATAATCCAGTTCCAATTTACATATAATGCAAAACTTGATTTTCATGTTTGGTTTCCTTAAAGTGGGGCAAGCCAGTCAGTCAATAATAATTTCTTAAGCGTATACTATGAACCAGGCACTGCGCTGAGAGCTGGGGATACAAAAAAGGCAAAACCCCCTCCTTGTTTTCAAGGAGCTCACAGTCTAATGGGGAAGACAAAATATAGGTACATACAAGTTATATGGAGTTGTCATTCAGTCATTTTTCAGTCATGTCCGACTCTTCATGACCCCATTTGGGGTCTTCTTGGCAAAGATACTAGAGTGGTTTGCCATTTTCTTCTCCAGCTCATTTTGCAGATGAGGAAACTGAGGCAAACAGGCTTAAGTGACTTGCCCAGGGTCACGTAGCTAATAAGTGTCTGAGGCCAGATTTGAACTCAGGAAGATGAGTCTTCCTGACTCCGGGCCTGACACTCTATCCACTGCACCACCTACCTGCCCTGTATTTGGAGTGGGCAGAAAGTAATCTCAGAGGGGGAGGTAGCAGAAGCTGGTGGGACTAGGACAGACGTCCTGCAGAAGGTGAGATTTGAGCTGAGACATGAAGGAAGCCAGGCCTATATAAATAGTTAGCCCACCTTGTCCTCTCCATGTTTGTGGTTTAAGCGTGTACTGCCCTTACGTCTGTGTTTCCAACTATTTTCATTAGTGTAATTTACCAAGTTTATTTCGCAGTTACAAACCTACATTAAAGAAAGGGATAGGATAGACACTGGCCCTGTGTTTTTATTGATTATAGGGAGCTCTCAGGTTCTCAAAATGAGCAAAAGGGAAGAGCAATTACTGCCGCTAGTAGTTGCCAGTCTGGAGGGTGTCGTTCTATGTTACTGAGAAGACAGGAGACTCCCTTTTCTCTCAAGAATAAACTACCATTTACCCATAAGGATAGGGACCAGACCTATGATTAAAGTAGTCTAGGAAACTCCCTGTAGCAATGCAAGTTGGCACCTTCTCTGAAACTTGCAATCTTAGAGGGTTTGAGGGTTTCACAGAGCACTAGGAGGTGAAGTGACTTGCCTAGGGTCATACAGCCAGGATCTGTCAAAGAACTTTAACCTCAGTCATCCTGTCTTTGAAGTTGGCTCTCTATGCACTGTGCCATACTGCCTCTTTAAACCAAAGACTTACTAATCCTGGAGCGGCTAGGTGGCACAGGGGGTAGAGCACTGGCCCTAGAGTCAGGAGGACCTGAGTTCAAATTGGGCCTCAGATATATAACACTTACTAGCTGTGTGTGACCTTGGGTAAGTCACTGAACCCCATTGCCTAACCAAAAAAAAGAATTACTAATCCTGTTGGAGTGTCCAGCGCGGAGCAATGGGATTTATGAATGACAACAATTGAGTTCCTCACAATTTTCTCACTTGTGCTCTGAGATTGCACCTCATATGCTTTAGCTGTCAACTGGGACCTCAGAAATGGAGGGAGGGGGGGATCCTCATTTTCATTTCCTTTCTGTCCTTATTCCTTTTTGAGGTTGAAGTCAGTGGATTTTGGAAGAAATGATCCATAGAAGTTTGACAGAAATTTTAAGAAAAGGGAAATGTGTTTTATGAAGATAAGTTAAAGGAAATGGGGTGTTGATTCTGCATAAGGAGTTAAGGGGTGACCATTGAGAAGAAAACACACAGAACTTTGGTTCAAATCCTGGGCCTACATTTAACCAATTATGTGACCGTGGACAAGTTATCCTTCCATGCTGGGACAAAGAAAATTGACCTATGCCTCAGTTTCCTCATCTAGAAGAATGGAGATAATAATCCTTTCACTACTTGCCTTGCACTATAGTTGTGAAAAAATACTTTGTAAATTTTAAGAGGAGTAGAAGTCATAAGAACTGGATTTGGGTCCTGGCTCTTGCACTAACCAGCTATGTGACCTTGAACAAGTTAGGCTGGTGGAGTGGAAAGAACAAGGTATGGAGCTGGAGGACTGGGGCTTAAAATACAGCCTTGGGGCAGCCAGGTGGTGTAGTGGATAGAGCACCTGCCCTGAAGTCAGGAGGACCTGAGTTCAAATCTGGCCTCAGACCAAATACTTGACACTTACTAGCTGTGTGACTCTGGGCAAGTCACCTAACCCCAATTGCCTAAAAAAAAAAAAAAATACAGCCCTGGACAGCTCACTTAATCTCATTAGGCCTGTTACCTTAGCTGCAGAAAAAGGAAGGTATGGGACTAGATAACCACAAAATGCTTTTCGATTCTAAATCTATGATCCTATGAACCCTTTGGTCCCGTTTCTTCATATGTATCATGAGAGATTTCTAAGATTCCTTCTAATACTACTTTTCTGTAAAAACAATTGTTGACATTTATATAGTGTCTCATAGTTTACAAGGGGCAGCTAGGTGCTGTATTGGATAGAGTACCGGGCCTGGAGTCATCTTCAAATCTGTTCAAATCTGGCCTCAGACACTTACTAGCTGTGTGACCCTGGGCAAGTCACTTACCCCTGTTTGCCTCAATTTCCTCATCTGTCAAATGAGCTGGAGAAGGAAATGACAAACCACCCCCATATCTCTACCAAGAAAACCCCAAATGGGGTCACCAAGAGGTGGGCATGACTGAAATGACTCAGCGGCAACAAAGGTTTACAAAGCACTTCATAGACATTATTTCACTTCATCTTCTCAAAAGCCTTTTCAAGTACAGCAGCTGGTGGCACACTGGATAAAGTGCTAGACCTGCAGTTCAAATCTGGCCTCAGACATTCAGCAGATGTGTAACTCTGAGCAAGTCATTTAATCTATATTTGACTCAATTTCCTCATCTGTAAAATGGAGATAATAATCATACCTACCTCCCAGGTTGGCTGGGAGGATAAAATGGGATAATGTATACAAAGCACTTTGAAAACCTTAAAATATTATATAAATGCTGGTTGTTATTATTATTTAGGATATTATGGGAATTATTCTTCTCACTTGGAAGATGAAGAGACTGTGGCCAAGAGAAATTAAATGACTTGTCTATGGCCATACTACTAGCAAACAACAGAAGCAAGATTTGAATCCAAGCTCCTACTAATTCAAGATCAAGCACTCTTTCCACTACGCCAAATGGGCCCCTTAAATATAAGCTCATGAATGGTATCATCCACTGAATGTTAGACTGGATGATCATGTGGAATTTCAACCAGTTGTGTGGTTCTCTGGACCTAACCAAAATAAGAAATAAAATTTAAGATTTCCCTTGACTAACACCAATCACTCAACCTTCCTTCCTTCTTTGGAGAGGCAGGGAGCTATGGGTATAGAATGTTACACATGTTGACAGACATGGTTGATGTATGGGTCAGTTCTGCTGAAATGTGATTATAAAAAAAAAATCTTTGTTACAAGGGAAGGCTGGCTGGGTAGAAGAGGAGGGAGGAGTCTTCTCAGAAATGAATGTGATGTAAAAACAAAAGGCAGCAGTAAAGCTAAAAAGAAAAGCTCAATCATTCTCTCTTCTGGGCCTTTCCATTAACAAAGGTATCCTCTGTCAGCGAAAGGAATGACAGAGGTCACAGAGGGCCTGGGTCTGCAGAAGACAGAATGCTTCTATAGTTTCTTTCTTACCATGTGATCTCATAATGAATTCAGGCAGGAGATGGGAGGAATACACAATTTTTATAACTCTCAGACTTGGGGAGGCTAAGTGTGTCACATGGGAATGAGCATCAAACAATCTTTCTGTAGGCAGTGTCCTGGGTGGTTTGAATATCCATTTTCTGTAGCCACATTTCTATCCATGTCACTGGCCTGGTCAAGGTTCCATGGTCTCTGGACCATGTCTAGGGTGCAGATATGCAGATCCCACCATCTGTTCTGTTGTTTAGTCATATAAGTCGAGACTCAGCTTTCCCATCAGCAAATGGGGATTAAAATAATGACCGTACCTATTTCACAGGGATATGGTGATAAAAGACCTTTCCAAAGCTTAAAGCATTGTACAAGGTGTTCTGAAAGATTTAAGCTAGTAAAGATGCTCAGTCATTTCCTTTAAGATATTTAAGCCTGGGGCAGCTAGGTGGCGCACTGGATAGAGCACCTCCTGAATTCAGGAGGAACTGAGTTCAAATCTGGCCTCAGACCAAACTGTGTAACCCTGGGCAAGTCACTTAACCCCAATTGCCTTAAAAAAAAATATTTAAGCCTGAAACTGCACTGACTTTTGGGAGACCCTGTGTAATGCTCTTATTAGGCTAGCCGGCAGGGGTGGGGGATCTCTGGCCTCGAGGCCCCATGTGGCCCTCTAGGTCCTCAAGTGTGGCCCTTTGAATTGAATGATTCAGGCCACATGGGGCCTCGAGGCCACAGGCTCCCCACCCCGGGGCTAGAGGTTGGAAGAGAGTTGTCCTCTTTGCTGACCATTTCTGTACTTGCTTTGGTTTACATTTGGAGTCCAATACATATCACTTGGGGGAGGAGGAATATATAAAATTTCCTGTGATCTGAAGAATGGATTTGATAAAGGGGCAGTAGACTAGGACCACAGTGGAAAATGGAGAGTTCTATTCAATCCTAAAATCTCAGCTGTCCTCTTTTAAACGAAGATTTCTTCAAATGCTGCAAGTATTGATCTCGGGAGGGTCAGACTTATTGTAGCTGTTTGGGCAGCTCCTTTCCAGCTTCCTTTTGTACGCTGTCTCCTCCCATTTGATTACAAGCTGCTCAGGGGTAGGGACTGTTTTTCTTTTTCTTCTTTGTCTCTCCAGCACTTAGCACAGTACCTGGCACACTGTTATTCAGTTGTGTCTCACTCTTTGTAAGCCCACTTGGGGTTTTCTTTGGCAAAGATACTGGAGTGGTTTGCCATTTCCTTCTCCAGCTCATTTGACATGTGAGGAAACTGAGACAAACAGGGTTAAGTGACTTGCCCAGGGTCACACAGCTAGGAACTGTCAGAAGCCAGATGTGAACTCAGGAAGATGAGTCTTCTTGACTCTGGGCCTGGTGCTCTATCCACTGCACCACCTAGCTGCCCGGCCCAGCACATAGTAGGTGCTTAATAAATGTTTATTGAATTAAGTTAGATTGAAATGAATCCTGATAAGGAAACTTCCTCTATTGATAAAGATTGGCAGCTTTGTCTAGAGGGTTGCCTGGCACTTAGAGATTAAATGACTTACCCACAGTCACAAAGTTATATGTGTCAGAAACTGGACTTGAACCCAGGTCTTCCTGACACCAAGGCCAGTTCTCTATTCACTATGCACCCATCTAAATATATTTAAGCAACTTTTAAAACACCTTTAACAACACCGTGGCACTCAACAAAACTTCAGGCATGTGTTTTCTGAAACCTGAGTAAGTATTCTTTCATTCCTTTTTTCATCACAAACCTCAACTCTTAATAACACTTTAACATTTCCAAAATATCTGAAAAGGTTTTGGCCACATCAGTCTGATTATTTCCTTCTTGTTGGCTTTCTGGGAAGAAAGGAATTGTCATGAATGACAAGCCCTGCCTTATCACCACATGTGGCACATGAGGTCCCTGGTAGAGAAAAGTAAAATGACTTGCCCAAGGTCATAAGGCTAGTGAGCAAACAGAACCAAGACAGACTGAAAGTGCTCTGGCTTTTACTTTCTTGTCCAGAGCTCAGCCTAGTATACTACCATGTCTCTTATAAGCAGAGCTAGCTCCTGGGATACTGAAAAATCTGGACAATCTTGGTTCTAACTCACAAGCCCTTCAGTTTTCAAAGCAAATTCTCCCAGCTAAACATCCCTTGTGGACGAGCTCCTCACTTGCCTGGTCTGATACATTGTACCAGTCGTAATCAAAGGAATGGACATTCTTATTGTGAGAAAAGGATAATATGAACAAGTTGTAACAGGCTCTGGATGCATAAAGCAGGATAACCGTCACCCCAATGGTGGTCACTTGACACACGGATGAGCCCTGGAAAAGAGGAAAATTTGCTTTAGTCCAATCCAACTGCCAGGAAGGACCAGCACCACGCCATCCCAGCCAATCATCATCCCTCAGTCCCCCCTCAGCATCCACCATTGCTTAGCTGTGTCTGGCTAGGTAAGCCCTACCCATGCTCCAAAAACCCATCTGAATGCCCTCTTGGAAAGAATCAGACACCTCAGGATATTATTAGTAACCCTCTAAATGTAGATTTAATTTTAAGAATCTAATCATACAGTCCCACATCTGCTTGCATTTTTTTTTCTTCTAAGCATCTGAAAAAGAAGGGACATGAAAATTCTAGCATAGGAGACAGCAGCAATACTAGTTTGCAAATACTTCCATGTGGTCCAGACCAGAGACAGAGACCAAACCTGTATGCTGTGCTGTTTCAGGGCCCTTTGGGTAGGAGTAGACAAGTGACATGGATCTTCGTTTTAATTCTCCCTGAACACTGCTGGCCAGCTCAGTGGTAAACAGTCCCAGGAGCTGCCCAGCTCCCCCCTCAGTCTCTGTTTGCTTCGGCCACTCTTCCCAGTGAGATGATTAAGCACGCAGCAAGGGGTTGTTTTGTGGACAGAGCTCAGTTGCTGGAGGATTTTTGGAACCAGTAACACACTTGGTGTTTAATAAATACTTATTGCCTGGACTTGGTACTTGTCAGTAACTATGAAAATTCTCTTGTTAATAAATGATCGGTTTTTCTAACCGATCAGAAAATCATGGGATAAACAGGATATTAGCTAATGTACCTGAACATCTGGAGAGTGCTTTGATATTTTTTTCAGGAAGGAGTTATCAAATAAATCCAAGGTGTTATTAAATTGTTTCAATGGCTGTTAATTACGCTTATTATTTTCCCTGTGGGAGGTCTGAATAGTGTTTCAGTAGAAAGCTACAATTTAATCCTTCCTGTTAAATCCCCTCTCCCTGTTTTTAAAATCCCCAACTGCCTCGCATAGAGGAGAGATTATGTTCAAGGGAATTCAGACAAAATCAAGTTTGACATTTCCCTGCAAAGCATGTGAATGGAAAGTTGCCCTAGCATACTAACTGTAGGCCTCGATTCTCCAGGGTAATGTCAGCAAACAAAATGGTGCTCGGTGGCAAAGACTTGGATGTACAAGGAATCTTCCACCCTGGGCCCTCCGGGTTGGCAGCTATTCTTCAATTTGTCATGACTGGATGCTTTCTGAGCACTGGCAGATTGGCACACAGTGCCGCACAAACCCCATCACCTGGCCCCGGTCTTCAGAATAAAGAGATTAAACAAATGGGTTTCAAGGGCACTCAGCAAATCACTAGCAGATGAGGGAGCAGGGCCCTGGCCCTCTTCCTCTGATGTCAATACTCCATCCTGCCAGGAGTTACACAACCCTCCTTTGCTCAGTAATCTGCTTTATGAAAGAACTATACCAGGTGTTTAGGCAAATTTAGTCCCGCGGTCTTATTTTTTCTCCTAGGTATGCAAAGTGGCAAAGGATGGATATTTCTAGGGTAGAAGACAGTAGCAGAGAATTGATTGGGTTTATAACTTCCTCCCTGACTTTAATTCTGGTCTCTTCCCTATTAAAAGAAATCACCACATGGTTAAAAAGACAGGCAGAAGGGTGATTCTGTGGGCACTTGTCCCTAAGGAGCAGAAAGGCCCTAGTCACCTAGCAGATCAAGAGGAAAAATGTGGGCTTAGGAGCTAGATCACCCTGAATTCCCCATGACTCACCAAATGACCTCCAAAAAACTCCCAATGCCCCTTTAAAAAATCTAAATATGAGAATACAGGAAGGATGTGTGACTTTAGCTGTGTAGGAACTACCAGTGGGGGAAATACTCCATCAACACAGATTAAAATCTGCTTCTGACTTAGCAGATTCCTCTTAATAAATGATTGGCCTGAGGCACAGAGAAGAGACTTATCTAGGACCATAAGGCTACTTCAGATTCACAGGCAAAATGTGAGCCTGAGTCTTTATGACTCCAAGTCATATAGTCACACACAGTGACGGTATGGAGGCAAAATCAATTCTCGTTCTTTAAGCAGACGAATTACTCTCTTCAAACTCTACCCTAAACATTAGTTAATGTACTCTTAGCTGTCTGGCACAAAGACATCTCAGGATACAAGTGGATGGGCTATTCGTGGTCTGGACTTATGCCTCAGTCTTTTGTTTTAAACAACAGCTTTACTAACTTTCACTAAAAAGTTAGGCATGAAAGACATTTTGGTATTTTTTGTTTCCCAGTCAATCTATTATTTCTGGCATGAGCTTTTTGGAAAGAGTTGAGTACATGTTGGAAATGCTTCCCACCCTACCTTAGATTCCAAGTATATATTGGCTAAGGACATCTTGGAAATCTTGTAGAGGCAGATGGAAAGCGAGATGGCACAGAGAACAAAGAGTGTGTCGTTAATGGCGACCCGAACTGAGACGATGACCTTTCTCTCCCAATTTTCTGTTTTCACGAGCACTGCACAGGTTTAATTTACCAACAGGAAAAGAAGACTGATGAAGAGGGAAGCCAAGTAGAGGGGAAGTCTGAAAAGAAAGAATGAGAAAAATTTAAAGCACTGTCTTCTCCAAGTTATGTAAATGTTCAGCTCAGAATAATGAAAGTTTTTCTAGCTAATTGCTTATAACAGACACACCAAGATTAGGAAGTAGTTATTTGGAACCTGCTTATTTTATAGCTGTAAGGCATCATAGTTTGATGGGCTTAAAAAGAAATCTGTTACAGACCCTCCCAGGAGCTGGAAAGATGCCCACTGTTCATTCTCCCTAAAATTGTATACAAGTATGTTACAGAGGATACAGAGTTGCTATGGGGGCTGTTCGGTGCCTTTTGATAATAATAACAACTCAATCTTAATCAGTAAACATTTATATAGATGCCAGTCACCATGCCAAGTGCTAACAATACAAATACATACATATATACACACATATATATACACATACTCATGTATGTATACATAGATAAATATGTATGTATGTATATATGTACAGAATAAATGCAAACCAGCTAGAAAATAGTTCAATAAAATGTAATTAGGAGGGAGGGCACTGACTGTTGTGTAAGGGAAATCACAAATAGCTTCATGTAGAAGCTGGAATTTTAATTTTGTCAGGAAGAGAAGGATTCTATGAGGCTGGGGAAGAGATTGTACATTCCAGGCATGGGGAACCTCCTAGGTAAAATCACAGTGATAAGAATGGATCATCATGGGGCAGCTACGTGGCACAGTAGATAAAGCTCCGGCCTTGGAGTCAGGAGGACCTGAGTTCAAATCTGGTCTCAGACACATAACATACAACACTTACTAGCTGTGTGACCCTGGGCAAGTCACTTAACCCCAATTGCCTAGCCAAAAAATAAATAAATAAATAAACAATAGTTTAAAAAAAAAAAAGAAGAATGGAGCATTATGGGGGCAGCTAGGTGATGCAGTGGATAGAGCACCAGCCCTAGAGTCAGGAGGACCTGAATTCAAATCTGGTCTCAGACCAGATACTTGACACTTAGCTGTGTGACCCTCGGCAAGTCACTTAACTTCAATTGCCTCAAAAAAAAAATGGAGCACCATGCATGAAGTTAATAGGGAATCCACTAGGTTCATGAAAACGAACATCAGTAACCTACAATACATCCCTGAGAAGGTAATGACTACAATTAAAAGCTGCCCAGAAGGGATCAATTAAATTCCAATAATTTAATTTGACAAGCATTTATTAAGTGACTACTAAGTACAGAACACTGCATTGGGAAAGAGAAAAGGTTTAGACCCTGTCCTCATGAAGCTCAACACAACAGCAACAACAACTAATATTTATATAGGGTGTCCCAAAAGTTTTAGTGTAATTATAAGCATTGATATTTTAAACTTAAATTAAGACTTTTGGGACACCCCATGACGTGCTTTAAGGACTTTAAAGTGCTTTATATATAGTATTATCTCATTTGATTCTTACAACAATCCTGGGAAGTAGATGTTGTTATTGTCCCCGTTTTATAAATGAGGAAAACTGAGGCTGAGAGAGATTAAGGGACTTGCTCAAAGTCAAACAGATAGTAAGTATCTGAAGACAGGATTTGAACCACTGCTCTATCCACTATGCCAACTAACTGCTAATCTACTGGCAGGTTATGACATACACAAATGAGATATAATACAATTTCATATGAGATATGGTGCCATATTATGAAAGGTCCTAAGTGATAAGAGGAATCAAGGAAGGTAGTACTGATGAGGTGGCATTTGGTATGGGCTTTAAAGGATGGCTAAAATGCTCAAAGGGCAATCAAACTATGCATAGCCTTTGACCCAGCAATACCACTTCTAGATCTGTATCCCAAAGAGATCATAAAAATGGGAAAAGAATCCACATGTATAAAAATATTTATAGTAGCTCTTTTCATGGTAGCAAAGAATTGGAAATTGAGGGGTTGCCCATCAATTGGGGAATGGCTAAACAAGTTGTGGTATATGAATGTATGAAATACTATTGTGCTATAATGATGAGCAGGCAGACTTCAGAAAAACCCAGAAAGACTTATGTAAACTGATGCAAAGTGAAATGAGCAGAATCAAGTAAACATTGTACACAGTCACAGTAACATTATACAGTGCACAACTATGATTGACTTAGCTCTTCTCAGCAATACAATGATTCAAAACAATTCCAAAAGTATCATGATGGAAAATGCTGTCTACATCCAGAGAAAGAACTATGGAGTCTGAATGCAGATCAAAACATACTATTTTTACTTTTTTTCTTTCTCATGGTTTTTCCTTTTTGTTCTTATTCTTCTTTCACAACATGACTAATATGGAAATATATTTAACATGACTGTACATGTATAATCTACATCAGATTGCTGTCTTGGGGATGGGGGGAGGGAGGGAAGAAAAATTTGGAACTCAAAGTCTTACAAAAGTGAATGCTGAAAACTATATTTATATGTAATTGGAAAAAAATTTTTAAAACTATTAAGTGCAAAAAAAAGGATGGGAAAAAGAAATTCGACAGGTATGGAAGGGAAGGAGGATAATAAAAATTCACAATTACACGGTATTTTAGGCTGCAAAGTACTTTATATATGTCATCTCATTTGAGTCTTACAAAATCCCTATAAGTGCTATTATTATTATTTCCCTTTGACAAATGAATAAATTGAGGCTTAGAGAGATTAAATGACTTTCCTTGAGTCTTACAGCTACTCAGTGTTTCAGGTGGGTGGGATTTGAATCCAAATCTTCCTGACTCCAAGTCACTACATCACAAAGCCTTTGTGGGGGAAAAAAAATTCCCAAGTATGGGAAGCATCAAGAACAGAGGCACAGGAATAGAGAAGCATGGGACAATTAAGGAGAAAAACCATCCATTTTGGTCATAGTGATGAATGTGTAGAAGAGAGTAATATCAAATACCTAATGACATAAATACATTTGTAAAGTGCTTTGCAAACCTTAAAATTCTACATACATGCTAGCTATTATCAGCATCCTAATCATCATATATTATTATTATATTTTATTATTATGTTTCTGTTGTTATTTGGTCGTTTTTCAGTTGTGTCTGACTTTGTGACCCCATTTGGGGTTTTCTTGACAAAGATACTGGAGTGGTTTGCCATTTCCTTTTCCAGCTCATTTTACAGATGAGGAAACTGAGGCAAACAGGGTTAAATGACTTGTCCAGGGTCACACAGCTAGCAAGTATCTGAGGTCAGATTTCAACTCAGGAAGATGAGTCTTCTCTACTCCATGCCCGGCACTCTCCGCACTGTGGTGCCACCTAGCAGCCCTTACTATTACATAAGACTAGAAAACAGGCACCAGATTGTAGAAAGACTTGAAGACTAAACTAAAGAGAGTGAACTTTATTTAACAGATAATAGGAGGCACTGAAGATTTTTGAGCAAAGGAGTAAAATGATCAGATCTATGTTTAAGGAAGATCGACGTTGAAGCATGGACTGGAAAGGAAAGTGAATATCATGGGGGAAGGTGGAAGGAGGAAAGTTTGTTAGGTTATTAAAACAGTCCAGTAAGGTCATAATGAAAGCCTATACTAGGAGTGTGGCAGTGGAATAGAAAGGTCAGGATAGGTGTAAGAGACATTGCAGAGATAGAATCAATTATAGCTAATACTTCTAGAGTTCTTTATGGTTGGCAAAATGCTTTATGTACATGTTGCGAGGATCATGTTTGATGCTCACAACAGCCATGGGAGGTAAGGTATGATTATTATCCCTACTTTACAGATGAAGAAACTGGGGCTGAGAGGTCACACAGTTAGAAATCTGAGACAGTGTTTGAACTCAGGTTTTCCTGACTCCAAGTCTGGTGCCAACAACCTAATTGCCAATAGAGTTATAGAACTATGACACTAGAGCTATGGAAGGTCCCCTAGTTCAGTCCCTTCATTTCATAACTGATGAAAATGAGGCCATATTGGTTGTCAGTAGTCCAAGGTCATACCACGAATAAGTGGGATTTGAACTAAGGTCCAAATTCATCAACCATTCCACTGCACCATGTTAACTCTTTGGAAGAGATAATAGTCCAATAAGTCATGCTATATACCAAGAACTGTGCCGGGTATTGTGGGTACAAAGACAAAACAGAAACAATTCATGCCCTCAAGCAGTCAAAAACAACACCAAAGAGGGAGACTGAATGAATGTTTTACCACTGAAAAAGAGCATGGAGTCCAAAGGGTACAGAGGTTTTGGTGGGAAAGGTAATAAGCTCAATTTTGGTCACGTGATTATGGGTTCACAGATTCAGAGCTGGAAAGAAGCTCACAGGGAACTTTGAGTCCAATATGCCCACTTTATAAATGAGAAAATATAGTAAATGACTTGCTCACAGTCACATAAATAAGTAGCAGAGCCAGGATTTCAGTCAGTCAGTCAATAAACATTTATTGAGTGCCTACTATGTGCCAGGCATTGTGCTAACCACCCAGGGTATACAAAAAAGAGGCAAATGACAGTCTCTGCCTTCAAGGAGTTCACAATCTAATGGGAGATACAACAAGCAAACACAGATGTACAAACAAGCTACGTACAGGATGAATAGGAAATAATTAGAGGAGGAAAGGCACTAGAGTTAAGAGGGGTTGGGAAAGGTTTCCTGTTAAAGATGGGATTTTAGTTAGCACTTGAAGAAAGTCAACAAAGCCAGTAGGGGGAGATGAAGAGGGAGTGTTTTTGGCATGGAGAGAGTCGGAGGAAATGCCCAGAGCTGAGAAATGGAGTGTCTTGTTCATGGAACAGCAAGAAGGTCAATGTCATTGGATTAAAGAGTACATGATGGGGATTAAGGTGTAAGAAGGCTGGAAAGGTATGTGTGGCGGGGGTTAGATTATGAAGAGCTTTGAACACCAAACAGAGCATTTTGTATTTGATCCTAGAGGGATAGGGTGTCACTGGAGTTTATTCTTTCTAGGAAGAATTAGACAATGTTCCCTGAGCACTTTAAAGAAAGTCAGTGGGTAAATTCAGAGCCTAAAATTATCACTGGCCACATCTAA